TCCGTTATTTATTAATCCCTCCCATCCCTTGTCTTTGTAGCACAGGCCACAAAGTCTGTAGCACCTGTCACGATAACAAATTTTGCTGGGCGATTAAATGCATCAGAAATTACGGCGATAAGCGATAATATTGCGTAATATTGTGCTTTAAGAATGATTAATGATGCAAGTACATCCTTTTAAAGAGAAATAAACATTTATTTAACAAGAATATTTATGAATGCAAAAAAGAAACATTAAATATAACAATAATGTTGATGTAAGCTACTGTCATTACCTGCATATCTCTCTCTCTCTCTCTCTCTCTCTCTCTCTCTCTCGTCATACGGATTACTGTTAATTTATTATGCTGATCTGTTCTGTACGACATCTATTGCACGTCTGTCCGTCCTGGAAGAGGGATCCCTCCTCAGTTGCTCTTCCTGAGGTTTCTACCGTTTTTTTCCCCCGGTTAAAGGGGTTTTTTTGGGGAGTTTTTCCTTATCCGCTGCGAGGGTCATAAGGACAGAGGGATGTCGTATGCTGTAAAGCCCTGTGAGGCAAATTGTGATTTGTGATATTGGGCTTTATAAATAAAACTGATTGATTGATTGATTGATTGAAATATCCGAAATAACATGTTAAAATACCCAAACAAATAGATAAAGACCTTATGAAAAAATAGACTGTCAGTCTCTCACTCTCAGGTGTGTAGTTAAGTTGGTCATATTCGCTCTTTTTGCTGAGATGGTTTTAGAACAAACCCAGCACACCGGCCTGTCTAAATTACTGGGCTCCCCTCTGTGGTTTAAATCCAAAATACTCCCATACAGGGGCCATGGCATTTAGCCTGGTTCCAGACCATAGACCCCGCCCACTCAACTGAGTAAGCTTGCATTACTGGTCTGGCATACTTCAATGAATTTGCGATTTATCTCGTCCAAACGATGGACGGACCAATGAACGCCGGGGGTCTAGCGATTAGCCAATCAGCGCCACGCTGATGTCAAGCTGTACGCTGGTGGGTAACTGGTGAGGATAGCAACAATGGCGACCGCTACAGATCCTACAGACCACATTAACGACGCTATCGAGGTATTTTGCCACTACTCGCGTTAATGGAGGACCAAATTAAGGAAGCTGCTAAACTGGATTTAACGGCGATGCAACTGGGCGTGCATGACGATGGAGACATTTTAAACAGGCAATGCTCGCTTGTTTTCGGCACCCCCGAGGCATGGATACTAATGACGTCAGATTCTGGGTGAGTCGTTGATCTCTACTGATTGGTTAGGGAAAAATCGAATTCCCTCCTCCTTGTAAATCGCCTTCAATGGAAGCCATGTCAGACTGAAGGTTCTGGGAGCTTCAGTCTGACACTCAGGCTACATGGCATTTGGTTTAGGAGCAAGTTCCCTGTCTTTCTCTTATGCTCAACTCTCTGTTTTTTTTTCTCCGCCTCGTCTCCCCCTCGCGAAGATCGCACTGTGTCTGTGTGTGTAGCCCATGGCCCCGCCTTCCCCACAGAGACAAAAACACTCGGTGACAAGAGCTTTCCCTCCGTTCATTACACTAATGAACCAATTCACCTGGCTGCCAGACGATGCACGGCAGTGAACGCTCTTGTCGTCGAATTAAAAAAACAAGAAAAAAAACAGACCACACACACACACACACACACACACACACATACACACACGCAGCTTGCAAGCAGTCTGTCGCAACGTGTACTACTAGGAAAATAAATTCATCGCACAAACATTTTTTTCCATCGCATGTGTGATATGTCGCACTGTACAGCCCTGTTTTTACTTTTTATCCGCTCATAAAAGTTAATGCATCATGCCATCATTTCAAGCTCAACACTTCCTGAATTTGTTTTAAATTAAAAGCCTCTTATAACCTTGGGTGAGAGAATCCCTCAATTTTCTAAATAGGCTTTTATTGTGAAACATTTGTAGGAACTTGTTGTGGAGGATTCAGTAACCTGAATGTTTGTGGTACGGTACTTGTGGTACGGTACTTCAAATGTAGTTCCTGCCATCTGCTGGCACTTTTTATGTTACTACAATAATATTACGGCTGGCACATGAACAGACACAGTGACTGAAATAATAGTAAAAGTAATAAAAATAGGACAAGTATAACCCAATGACATCACACACGTCGTGAAAGACGACTGAGTATAATTGGTGTGTACTAGTGCTGCACGATTAATCTAATCACAATCGCAATGTCAGGCTGTGCGATTACATAACCGCATAAAAGGCTGCAATTTGCGATTTAATGTAAATAAATGTTAACGTGTGTGCCTGTGAACGTGACTACCTCTGCTGTAGTGTGTGGAGTTTGTTGACATTACACCCACAAGCTATCCTGGTGTGGGCAGCACGTATGGTCAGGTGACCACCCGGCGTGCAGCAGTGACCAACATAGACTGTGAAGAAGAACATGAGCACGACCATGAACAGGCTGAGTTGGTGGCGAAAAAGACGTGCTGTGTAAAAGTTAAAGTCGCCACGTCCCGCGGCAACACGACCAATCTATATCAGCACTTGAGACAGCACAGAGAAAAGTAGGAGGAATGCATGCGAGAGAAAGCCAAGCCGTGTAACGTTAAAGACAATGAGACAACTGAAAGCCGCCAGAGCCTCATAAAACAACATCCAAGCACAGTTACGCATACATTTGTAAGTGTCACTGGGAAATCATGGACTCCATAACAAACTATATAATAACAAATGAAAAACTGAGCAATTTTGCTCGGTTTTGGCCCACTTGACATGCTGCTGTGTTGTGCTATGACGTGCTGGAATTTGTCATTTACGTGACAACGCCTGAACGCAACACAGGCTCGCTCTGCTGTAGGTACAGTGCCGTGCTGCGCTGCTGTGTGAGCAGCTGTTTGACTGTGCTCAGTCTGTTGATGGTCATTTACACACTGTCCATAACAATAATTATGTCGGGTTAGGTCAGTGCCCCCCTAATATAATATAGGGGAAACACTGAATCAAGCAAGAAGACTAATGATACCTTTTTTTTTTTTCATTATATTGTAATCGCAATCACGATATTGTCCACCATAACCGCAATCGCACATTTTTATCAAATCATGCAGCACTAGTGTGTACCATCGTGTAGTGTGTCATGTCTATCGGCCAAGTCACGGCACGAAAAATCTCCGGAGCACTATCCGTGCAGGTGCCTTCGGTTCCTTCCACCATGTTTTCAGAGGCCAAACATTGCAAACTACGCATGCACGCCTGTGTCTGAGGGACTGATGCTGCTTTTCCAGGCAATGAGCAGTATCACCGTGAGTTTTTCAACGTGCGGTAATCAAACACGGTTTTAATGATTATTAAAATTTGAAACGGTAATACTAACCGTCGGGAATTTTACCACGGTTTATCATTTTACCGGTAATCGTTACATTCCTATCATACACTGAGTAACATTACAAGTAAATCTTAAAAGTTGCCAGTAGTCAGTCCAGTGAATTAAGTTATCTTTTTCTCAGTCTACTACGAGAGGCAGCAAAACATCCTTTCATTTTATAGTTATAGTTTACTAATGTATGTAAAACTCGGGAAACTATGTACAATACTGCTTGGTGGAAACTGGGCATTACACATTGAAAAGCATTATATTTCATGCCTCCATCTGCTGGTGGGCCATCAGGGTAACAGTATGCATGCATAATATGGTGTTAATTCCACTACAGAAGACACTTGATAATCACTAAAATTAGCTGTGGGGAAAGAGTGGATACATTGATAGTGGTATCAGTTCTCGGTTAAATGAGTTGATGTATACTGGCATATTGGCTATCTGCGAAAAATCCATTATCGTGCATCCCTGGACATCATTCATAAATTCAAACTGTAGTCAAATTGTTGACAGTGGGGTTGTTTTTCTAATGCTGATTTATCAGTCAAATCTTTGATAAACTCAGATCCACTGTGTGTGCTCTCCTTGGTATGAAGTGATGTTGATGCTGTTTGGCAGATGATGTGGATTACTGTCCATGTCTGTGACATTTCTCAGTGGTAAACCAGTAGGCTATTAAAGGCAAGTAAGAGAGGGCTGGCTGACGTAATGATGGGTGTTTTATGAATATTCTGTGAGTAGCAGACAGATCTCTGTCCTGTTATCGCGTATTAAATTTTTCATTTCAATATCAAAACATAGCCATGATACTATAATGAAAAACTGAATGAAGAAGCGTTCGTGAGGACAGCTACGTGTTCTTTTCCTGGTTGAAAACAGCTGCTGTCACCACGACAGGGTCATCCCTATGTTTCCAGGGTTCTATGTTCCCCGCTTACCACCCAAAAAGGTTCTATGTTTCCCGGGTTCTATGTTCCCTGCTCAACCAAAAAGGGTTCTATGTTTCCCGCTTGGTTGAGCGGGGAACATAGAACCCAGGAAACATAGAACCTTTTTTGTGTAAGCGGGGAACATAGAACCTTTTTGCAGGGTTAAGTGGGGAACATAGAACCCGGGAAACATAGATACACTCCCCAGATTCCTATCATACAGCCTATTGCCTTATTATATAGATATCGTAGGAGAGGAATAATCCAATCACTGCTCAGTGACCACAAAATAATGTCTGTTGTTATTATTATTATATGATAAATTAATACCAATAGTCATACTGCCAATACAACTGCGTAAAATCACAGGTTACTGTATTGAAGTGATATTAGAAACCACATGCTAGAACTAAGTTAGTTCAGCAGTGCAGTATTTTATGCTCGCTTTAAGTTATTCAACTATAAAATGAGACTGAGAAGGCAAAACACAGTGGACAGATATTATTCATTCCTATGTCACGACAGTGTCATAAAGACAATGAAATGGCTTCAGGTATACTTTGATAGTCTGACGTTATCTAAACCTACTGTTATCTGCTGAGCTCTTTACATACACATGCGGCTCAGTGCAGCAGCTCAGAGGACACTGACCGCTGCAGCTGGCGGATGATGGTGCTATTAAACCATTTTAAAGAACCAACTTACATTTTTTACTCCAAATTCACCCAGTATTACTCGGTTGCGGATTTCTTCCACGTTCTTTATGGTCGCGGCCATTTTGCCATGTAGTGTTCTTCTTCTTCGTTTTCTTCTTTTTCTTCTTCTTCCTCTTCTTATTCTGCTTCTTCTTCTTTTCTGGGGTTTAATGGTAGCTCGCATCCTTAGCGTTGCATTACCGCCATCTTCTGGAGTTATTTGACTCATCCAGTGCCTCATATTCTCCATATCAGTCTAGTTCTTTTTAGAAAGCATATCAGACACTCTGCCTTTCCCAGTCTCACCACACGCCAGTATGTCCTTTAAACTTGATCCTGTGAGTCCTTCTCTCGTCATCTCCTCCAGCATTTCCTTCAGTTCCTCTCTGTATTTGTTGCAGTTAGTAATCACATGTTCCACTGTTTCTGGTGTCTGACAATAGTCACATATCGGGAATGTGAAGTGTCCCATTCAAGTTGCTATGTCCAATTCTAAGTCTTGTCAGCACTGTCTCCTCTCTCCTGTTTCCTCCCCTGCTTCTCCCAGTGCCCACTCTCTTCTGTAGTGCATATAGATGTCTCCCTCACCTCCTGCTTCCAGTGCCATTTTTCATTAGTTTTCTTCCATACTATACTCTTTCCTTCCAGTTTTGATAACTTGATCATGATATCTATATTTTCTTTTTTAACTGCTTGCTTGGCTATAAAATCAACTTTCTCATTACCCACAATGCCCATATGTGCTGGAACCCAAATAAATTTGACTACTATACCTTGTCTTATTATTCTTGAATGCATTTTCAGTATTTCATACAATATGTCTTGTCGATTTGTGGAAGTACCTCGCTTTAAACTACACAAAGCAGATGCTGAGTCACTACATTTGCCATGTAGTCCGTTTTGCTCTTCACCTTTGAGTTTAAGAATAAGAATAACTTTATTCATCCCCACGGGGAATTTCAATTATCTGTCAGCTCATCTATTATATGTCAAAGAATTATAAAGCCTGATGGCTGTTGGTATATAGGATCTTCTGTATCTCTCTGTCCTGCATCAAAGAGAGAGGAGCCGTCCACCACAGTTTTTTTGGTCCATCAAGGTGTTGTGGAGTGGATGATCTGGGTTGTTCATGATGGCCTCGGACATCTTCAGTGTGCATCTCTCCACCACCTCCTCCAGTGTGTCCAACCTGACTCCAATCACAGAGCCAGCTCTTTTGACTAGTTTGTCCAGCCACCTTGCAACTTTGTGTCTGATGCTTCCTCCCCAGCAGACTGCAACATAAAACACACTTGCCACCACAGACTGATAAAACATCTGCAGCATCTTACTACAGATGTCTAGAGATCTGAGCTTCCTCAAGAAAAAGAGTCTTCTCTGCCCTTTTTTGTAGAGAGCTTCTGTGTTTAGGGACCAGTCCAACTTATTATCCAGGTGTACACCTAGATACTTATAACTTATGGCGGTTGGCAAACCAGCTTTCAGGTACATAACCGCCACTTACTGGACTGGAGTGTGGAGCAGTACATTGGCAGAAAACAAAAATGAAAAAAAATCTCTTTTATTTCTGTTACTCTTAAATAATGAAATAGAGACTTACGAACATTCCTTGATGTCTTTCCTGTTAGATTCCCTTATGTGATACTGTGCTTTTCTTCAGTTACTCCTGTTATTAACCCCCTTCTTTCTTTAGCTTTTGAGTCATTCTGTAATTAGGGGTACCTTTCATGTCCATGGGTAATATTTATCAAATTTTATAAAATATTCACTTTAAGCAATGATTAATTTATATTGTGGCACAGTTCTCTTTTATGTAATACAAATATTTCAACAGGTCCCATCCTATATTTAGCAGAAAATGCATATGCTATACTGGAATTTGCTGTTTTTGTGCTGTCCACTTTGCTCAATGTCAGGTTCTGCTCTTCCAAGTAACACTAAAATACACATTTTTGTATATAACTTTCATCATTATTTGTTTAAAATAATCATTAGAACATGAAAATGACTTGTAAAAAAATATTTGGATCATTCATGTACATTATAACATCAATTTTGTGTGTGTCCAAGAAATCTCTGTCAACTGTTACTCATTGGGAAAAAAAACCCCTATAAAACAGCAATGGTTTGCTCCAAAGTCACATGCTCAACATCACAATGATGTCACTTCCTTTTGGAGGGAATTTTAAAGACAGTGTGGTAAGTTTCTACTCCCTCAATACTATTGTTTACCCATAGAGTAGATTAATTGACTGTCAACTGTGTTATTAACATATTCTTATGAACTTGTTTTAGATATTATTTTTACAAATATGTAGAGAAAGTGTACAAAGATATGAGTTGATCAAGGGCAAGGAGTGACAGGTCCAAGGTTAGCAGTTAGCACTAAAATGGCCGAAATGTCAACTGGGTTACCCATCAAGTGTAACACAGTTGACATGGCCTAACACAGTTGACAATGTTGGCAGTTAGTTGCCATAATTCATGCTTATATTGAGTGTTCTTAATTTAAAAAAAAACATACATAAACTATTGTTATTACACATACATTACATTGTAATTGTATAGTAATTGCCTAAAACATGATTCAAATTAGAATAGATTGACCTAGTCTATCTAAACAGTACATAGTATAAGGATTTCATGGAATATGCATGATTTTGATATGATTCAGTTGTTTCAAATGATCATTACATTGTAATTGCATTGTAATTGCCTTAAAACACGATTCAAATTAGAAGAGATTAACCTAGTCTATCTAAACAGTATATAGTATAATGATTTCATGGAATATGCATGATTTTGATATGATCCAGTTGTTTCAAATGATCAATACACTGTACATAGTAATTGCCTTAAAAACATGATTCAAATTAGAAGAGATTAACCTAGTCTATCTAAACAGTACATAGTATAATGATTTCATGGAATATGCATGATTTTGATATGATTCAGTTGTTTCAAATGATCATTACATTGTAATTGCATTGTAATTGCCTTAAAACACGATTCAAATTAGAAGAGATTAACCTAGTCTATCTAAACAGTATATAGTATAATGATTTCATGGAATATGCATGATTTTGATATGATTCAGTGGTTTTAAATGATCGTTAGGCCTACATAATATTAAAAAGAGTGATTTGTGTTTTAGGGAGATGAAGTTATCTGCAGCTGAGAAACAGCGTCAGTACAGGACTCGACGAAATGCTGATCTTGAGAGAAGGGCCACGTATTAGGAGAAATTAAATTGGCAGAGAAGGGGATCGCTGTAAAAGGAAAAGGCTTTCCTCTTTCAAAAGATTTTTTAAAGCATTATGTTTCTGTTAAGACCTATTGATTAAAGATGTTCAAGTTATGTTTGAGCTTTTAAAATTTTTTAATGATTTTTAAATAATATTCAATGAATTTGATCCCATCAGCAAGTTTTTTTCCATCTTCAAGACAGGTTTCTCTTTTTCTCCCAACGCGTCCTGTCAACTGTGTTACATTGTCTGTCAACTGTGTTACTTACTAGGTTATTTGTTATAAATCTATTAAATGTTGACTAAACTGTAACAAAAATGGTTATGGGGTATCACTATTAAGGGAAGTCTTGCATAAGGATGTTGAATAATTCTAAATTCACGGTAATGTGGATTTATGTTGAAAAAATACTCATCCATGATGATAGTATCCTATAGAATGTCCATTATCCAGCTCAAAATTCATATTGAAAGAAGTTAGACAGAAAACCTTTAAGCCCCTGGTGAATAAACTCTAGAACTTTCAAACAAATTACTTCATTCATGTTTTGTATGACACAACATTTGTCCGTAACACAGTTGACAAATTCATTAATCAACAGTTTATTTTCATTAAAATATTTAAAAAGTAATTTGAGATTAAGCATGGCAATTAATGAATTTAGCACATTCAGGGGATATATTATGGAAACAACAACATTGTTTATCAAAAAAGTATAGTGATTTCTTCACCTTTTGGTTCATGTGAAATGTACCCCTAATTATAGAATGACTCTTTTATGTCTGTTACAATCTGTTTGTAGCCTACATGTTTGACTGTTTCCAGTTTGTTACAGTGTGTACATAGTCCAGTTGAATGCTTTCCTATTCTGAGAGTTTCATTTAATCCTGTATGTCCTATTCTCGGACAGGTAATGACTATCTCCACTCTTGGGCTTCCACTCCATAATTTACCAACACCTACATGGTTTTGAAACTATAAAGATGTCTTCCTCTGTCACTTAAGTCCCAGAATTCCTACCATGTTTTTTTGCATACAGTCCTTTATGATAGTTGTAACCTCTGCTTTACTTAATGTTACTTGCATGTCAGTTAGATAATTAAAATAAAATGTCCACCAGGGCCACCACAAGTCATTTTTGCAATGGCTCCATTTCTGAAAATGTTCAGGGCCCCAGATTGTACAGATGTATCAAGTGTCATGCTTTTATGAGAAAGTGAGCGTTATTTTTAGCATATCACCTGGACTAGTAACTGAATAATCGCAACTATGGCCAAATAAGTGTTTGCAGTTTATAGCATAACCAGGCATGACATTTAGCTTATTAGCCTATAGCCAATACTATAGTATTGTTTCAGATGCGTATCTGTGATTGGTATGTCTAAAATCCCGGTTTATATTTGGAAACAAGGCTGTTATTAACATGATTTACAGATGCGTTATAAAATAAATAAACCCTTTTGCAATTATCTATATGACAATTCATTTTTGAACATGCTTTGCTGCTTAGATTAAACCAGTCTTTTTCTTTTTTCTTTTTTTTTTTTACCAGTTTAAATATCTTTAAAGCAGCAATAGGCCTTGTTAGAAAGACCGTTTAGTGGCTGGATATAACAGAACACTGAGATGACAGGTGGAGGCAGGTTGTTTATTGGAACCACAGTGGCAGACAGATATGGGATGTTTCTCAAAGTCAAGGATCCTCCTCCCAAGGAAGGATCCTGCAGAGGCAAGGCAAGAGTCCTCCCTAGTATTTAGTGAACACACATTGGAACAGACTAAGTGTCCCCACGTGATCATCATTAACCCTCAGCAGACTGAGGAGGTTTCAGTTACTGTGATCATTGTAACATTCTCCAATGTTGTTGGACAGTTGGACATTCTTTTAGATTATGCAGGTACAGTTCCCCTTTGGTCAGGTGTTATGCTGAAACATCTTGGCAAAAACAAGAGACAGTAATGCCATAGTTGAAAATTGGTTCCGCACAACAAAAAATGTCGTTCTGGCATCAAAGCTACATAGAAGAGCAGGAGATTTTCTGAAGCTCCAGCATGAGTTTGTTGTGGGAAGAATAAAAGGAACGTTAGTCAAAAAACAGGTACCACAGATGAAACAGCCAAGCAACAATGAAGATGGAGAGGAAATTGATGGTCTAGACTCTCTTCCCCTGTCACAACAGGAGAAATGGAAGAAGCGAACTACTCGAAAGAGAAAATCCAAGTACTTCAACTCCCTTCCTCCAACGAAAAAGCGTCTTGTGGCAAAATCTGCAACATCTGCCAGCCAAAAACATCCAAAGACAAAGAGTCACATCAAAGCTGCAGCAGTACACCCACCATCACAAAAAAGACAGGGATGCTGTCCATATTGGGGAGGAGAAGGGTTGATAGAGGAGCAAACAGTGTCAATGACAAATACATGTACAGTGGACAACCTCCTGTATATGCTTCATATGGCTATTAAGAGGAGACCTGGGATTAAAACTGACCTTAATGCAAATTCCAATAATTGGATTTCCACCCTACTACAAGTCCACAAACTTTTTGAAAAGAAGGAGTGGTCCCAGGGGAAATTATTGTGGCTAAGCACCATTGGGCGATTTAAAGGGACTTCATGGGATGCTTATGGGACAGAGGAAGACATGGTTGCATGTCGTCTTGAGTATCTCATGACAACAGAAATCATGCAAAAGTGCAAGAATGCAGCTTGTTCTGTTGTGAGAAGGCGAGTCAACAGTATTGATATCTTGTAAGGATTATTTAATTCTGTCAAATAAAAATCAGTGCATGTTTTTTGTTAATCAAATGACTTTACTTGCGAGAAATAGTATAATTTATTCTAAAACTACAAATATTGGTTCACTTAAGTTAACAAAGATAGAGACTGGTCATATGTATGTTAATCTACATATCTTACATGTGATTTATTTATTTATTTTAAGGTGTGAAGACTTCAGTACTTTACAGAAAGATGTTGACAGGTGGATGAATGCGTCCCTTACAGCTCCATGCAAAAGGTAAGTATACAGTATGCAAACAGTTGTTTGAATCATACAGACCATTCTCTTGAATGCAGTTACACAGCTCTCCTGCCTAGTTGTCGGTTTAGTCTGACATTTTCATAGTTCTATAATATTTTTCTAACTTTTATCTCAACAGAGTTCCTGCCCCATGCACTGACAGTGAGCAGACACTGCAGTGTGTCTTCATGAATGGACAGCCATGTGTGTTACTGGTCTCAGTGATACACAAAGCCAATTTCAGTCACAAGCTGCATCCTACAGCCTTGCCACACCTGGTGACAATTCTTGGTGGGAAGTAAGTAAAGACTTAACACTTCACTGTGTCACACTTGTACATGTTATTGTCACTGATTTTATTTGTTTACATTGCTATTCTAATGTAGTTTGAATTAATTTGTGAGTGGTCATCACATTTTTCTGCTATACTGTCAACACCCACAAAGGTACGAGCCAGCTGCAGTGACGTACCACCTGGGCACAAACAATCACTTGGCATTCCACAAAGTGGGCGCTGACAAAGGCTGGCATTTTTATGATGGCCTTGAGGAACTGCTCAACCCTGGCAAGGGTGATGTTGTCATCACTGACACATTAATGAAAAAGAAACTTAAGGCTAAGTGTAAAGTTAGCCTCATTGTCATGGTCAGGGTAAGTATGGATATTAATTATGGCATAACACTGCCTTGACCTCTAAAACTAGTTTTTCCTTTGTATATGACATTTCAACAGATAACAACAATATTCATGTCTTTTGGTTCACAAACAAGAAATTGAAATTAATCACAGTAATAACTAATAGTGTTGATCAGACTTACTTATCTTATATTTCACATTCAGGTGACAATCATTTATGGAGAAATGTGGTGATAGTCCTCTTACATAATCTCATAATAAAAAATTATTTGTTTTCCTCTTGCTTTAGGACAAAGCAGCAGAAGCTGTTGAAGCCAGGCGGCAGGAAAATGAACAGCTTGTTACATTCATTGTGGACCACAATGGAGCTGATGGAAAGCTGAGGGTAAGTCTAACATGTCATTACTTTCCCATATGGAACAATTTTACTAAAAACAACTATGAAATTACAGAGCAACACCTAACCTGATTCATTTATAATGTATCACCCTGTTATAAAATGTGATATATTAAACACCCATTAACCAATTACTAACTTTATGGAGAAAGTGCAATTAGTTCAGTGAGGAAACAGCTGTAACTGCTTATGGCTTGTTCACTTCTGCCAAGAACACCATCCTCCTTACATGGACTGCACTAGACCTCAACAAAATTGTGGAATTGTGGGGCTTTGCAAATATGTTTGGAATAGCGCTGTATCAGATAACGCGTATTGTAATTATTACCGTCAACAATTTATACCAGCACATTTTGATACCATAGTAGTTAAGTCAATTAGTTTTACAGTAAAGCAAGTTTCATTGCAGAGATTTAAAGGCACATATGTCCACTGTGGAAAGAAAGCTACTATTTGGGGTATTCTTCCCTCTTGCTGTCAATGGAACTGATGAAATAGGCTGAGACATGGCTATGGCTAACACTACCACTGTGTGTGAGCAGATAAGAATGGACTGAACATTTTTAAATATTCATGTTTAATTACTTTCATAATGAATTCAAAATTAATATTTTTCAGGCCATTCTGTCCAGTGAGGAGGAGTCCCACTTTTCTTTTAAAGATAGGTGGGTCCCAATCATCTTCGATGATGATGTGCAGCTGGACAAGATTGTAAAGTACCTGTCAGACTTCCTTGACAGCTGTGACACATTCTCTATAGAAGTCTGCACCATGGTGTCTTCTGACAGGATCAAATACATACTTAATGTGATGCTGTCAGAGGTAGGTCAACAGCTGCTTACAACTAGGAAAAAGAAAGTCACAGAAATATCGATTAATACAATAAATAGAACAATTATATGAACAAGAAAGTAAATAAGAAATAAAATAAAGGAATAAAAAATCAGAAACAGGAACAGAGAGTTTACAAATGAATTAGAAGTGATGTTTTGAAACTATGAAAAGAAGTAGTAGACCTAAGCTGGCATGGGAGATTGTTCCAATCAGACGGAGCTTTGAATTGAAATGAGCGACGACCAGATTCTTTAGATATTCTAGGAGTGCGGACAACACAAGTATACAAGCTCACACACACACACGTACACAAACAAAAGCAGAACAAAGTCATGACAACAAGACAGAGCTCAGTCTGCAGATTTTGTGATGGGACAGAATGAATGCATAAGAAAAAGAGCTGCCACAAAATCATTTATTTCCCATTATAATAAACTGACCTTACAGATAATAGGAGAAGTAGGAAAGAGAAAAGAAACAAAGAAAGAAAAAGTAGAAGAAATTGTAGTTTAAGTCCCAGCTAATAGGGATCCAGCTAAGCAGACAATTAAACAGAGGAATAGGGAAAAAGAAAGTGGGGATAGAGAGCGAGAGAAAAGGAGTTCGAACTAGTGTAGGGAAAGCAAAAGTAGAGATTAATAAAACATCTCCCTGGTGAGACATCATCTTAGATAAGCCTTAGTCCCGCTCTGCACAAAAAAGATTGTAAAAATAAATAAATGAAGTAAAAATAAATAAATGAATAAATAAATAATGAGACAATCATTTATAAGTCCCAATTAATTTGAGACTTTAGGAAAAGGCAACCAAAAAAACAGTACTTGAATGGAAAGTGTCCCTCAATGAGAGTAGAGTCTTTATGACAGATTGCAGCTAGTTACGGATTCCGCTTTACGACAGTTCCACAGCGGTTAACAGCAAACAAAGATGCTGCCTTACTGTGCGTTCACACCAAACGCGATGGACGCGATGAACGCCACAAGTTTCCATTCAAAATCAATGTAAATGACGCAATGACACGCAATGTCGCTTCAGGCGACGCGTTTCAGGCGATAAGAGCGACGCGATGAAGCGATGACGCGTCCATCGCCTCATCGCGTGTGTCGCTTGAAGTTGAAAAATTTGAACTTTTCAAGCGACATCGCGTGACACTGTGCCGCGACATCCAATCAGCGTTGATATCCAACCATTCATAAATTAATTATAAGCAACTAACCAGAGACAGATGGACAGGCGCTCTGCAGCTGGGATGGAGCGCCTGTAGTTGGTGTCCAGGCGGGACATCCTCGCACCGATACGGGCCAACAGGTCCTCAAACTGGGCCAGCGTCAGCCTGAAGTACCGCTGGAAACGACTGTCATCCAGACGCAGCTCTTGCAGGAGGTGATGATATTCACCCAGCTGTGTGCGTTTCTGGAGGATATTGTGAACCCAGACACGGCGGCGTTTGGGTCTCCGATACAAATCAGATGTCCACAACAGATAAAGAGCAGCTACGGTAGTTAACTCAGCCATGGTTGACGAGAAAATAGCGGGAGGTTGCGTCATCGTGATTGAAGCGATGAAGTGATGATCAAAAAGGTGACATTTGTGATCAAGCGATGCGATACTCGCGTTACAGGCGATGACATCGCGTCCATCGCGTTTGGTGTGAACGCACGGTTACTGTTCCAGGGTTAGTGTCAAGAAAAAGTTAATGTAGCCGCATTAGGTAAGTCCAAACGGCTCAAAATTATATTTATCTCTGCACATGGCAAAGAGAAGCAGGTGAGGATAAAGAATAGGGAAGAGAAGAAAAAAAAAAGAAAAAGAAAAGGAAACACCAACATTACCCGCACACGACAGTTACGACTCGAGCATGGGATGAAGCGTCAGGCTGGAAAAGAAGTTGCGGAGCTCATGGTGGTATCACGGACTTTGACTTTACTAAGGAAAGCCTCAACCTCCGTGGGAGTACGATACAGAGTGGACCTGCCCTCATGGATAACTCTCAGCGAGGCAGGATATTGTAGCGAATATTTTATATCCAGCTCACGGAGCTTTTTCATGACTGAGTCAAACTGCCGGTGTTATGTCCCCACTGGTTTCCAATTTAACTGGTTTCCTTACCGAACAGCTGCAGATGTGCTGCGCCTCCGTCAGCAGATTTGTCACAAATTCACAAACATACACAACATATTACTGGCGATTTTAAAGTCGCAGCCCACACCTATCACAGCGAATATGCTTCTGTAAGTGAGCACTACGTACCAGCGACATTAAAAAAAGAAATTAAAGAAAATATGATATACACAAATTTGCATCAAGCTGGACTCGATTTCACGTCAACAAAAGACAATATAACACAAACCTCACGTCTACCTGTGTGAGCCACTGAGACTCACAGAGTGCACAGCTTTCCTCAGGTAGGCTATTAGTAAATTACGTCAGCATCCAGGTAACATTTTGATTTGGGCTGACCTGAGACAACAGGTTACCCTCGGCTTGCCTTGAAAATACCCAAACATATTTATCAATGTTTCTTGTTCTTTTTCCACGAGTCTACAAACATATTCAGTGCCACATTACAGTCTGCACAACACTGCACACTATGACAAAGCCTGTCATGTTTAAAAAGTGACGATCTAACTCGGAAAATGCTCTCAAAATACGCTAAATAATATGTAAATAAAAACCAAGCACTTATATAGCCACTGGATCATTACAGAGGTGAAAAGCAAGGACTTACATTTACTCACGTCACTGTAATTGAGTAGTTTTTTTGTGTAGGCCCTATTTGCACTTTTTAAAATCTAATTTGAGTGTTACATCAGTAGCCTATGTTTTAATTTAAGTATTATGCTTTGCTGCATTTTAAATGACTTCCGTGACCGAGTTAAAAAAAAAAAAAAGTCGGCCGAAATTTTAAAAAAGCAAACGGAATTGTACATGCGTTAACTATGATGACACAATAATAATAGTATTACACTCTATGACAACCTGGCAGCTAGCTCTGGTGGAGACATATGAGCTCTAAGAACAAACTCACATTTATGGGATACACACTAAAAGAAATGTCGCCATGGTCCGAAAGAGGTGACGTCATGCTGTTATCTCTGTCTCTACAGGTACGCAGTGAGTGAGTTAGATCGTCACTTTTTAAACATGACAGGCTTTGTCATAGTGTGCAGCGTTGTGCAGACTGTAATGTGGCACTGAATATGTTTGTAGACTCGTGGAAAAAGAACAAGAAACATTGATAAATATGTGTGGGTACTTTCAAGGCAAGCCGAGGGTAACCAGTTGTCTCAGGTCAGCCCAAATCAAAATGTTACCTGGATGCTGACGTAATTTACTAATACCTGAGGAAAGCTGTGCACTCTGTGAGTCTCAATGGCTCACACAGGTAGACATGTGGTTTGTGTTATATTGTCTTTTGTTGACGTGAAATCGAGTCCAGCTTGATGCAAATTTGTGTATATCATATTTTCTTTCCTTTTAATGTCACTGGTACGTAGTGCTCACTTACAGAAGCATATTCGCTGTGGTAGATGTGGGCTGCGACTTTAAGATCGCCAGTAATATGTTGTGTATGTTTGTGAATTTGTGACAAATCTGCTGACGGAGGCGTAGTACATCTGCGGCTGTTCAGTAAGGAAACCAGTTAAATTGGAAACCAGTAG